AACGAATGTAAAGCACCTACCATATGCTCGTAAATCTCATCAGCTATAATTGGTACGTAGAAACGAGCAGCCAGGTCAAGAACTTCAACTATATGATCCTTAGTGAACACGGAACCGCACGGGTTCGACGGATTGTTTATAATAATCGCCGCGGTTGACTCGTCGATCTGCGACTCCAAGTCATCTAAATCGATCTCCCAACCATTCTCGGGCTAAAAACGTGTCAATAAAAATGCAGTATAGCATTGTTACACAACCAAATTAAAACAATTGTTCTCAATAATGCACTGTGGATAAATATATTCTTTATAATAAGAGAGTATTCAAAATTATTGTAAATTTATATTTAAACTATTGTAGCATGGGTGATTAATTAAAAAAAAAATGTAATGAATTATAAAAGGGGGTTCGTTATTTGAAAACATAAATATCGTTTAAACGTGCAGTTGTTCTTTATCAACAATGGGCTCCAGCCTTCTTCTGTAAGCTTTTAATACAATTTGACTTTCTCCGGTAATTATAGTGGCGAGAAAATGTATGTTTTTCTCTGTATAATACATTTCCATTGGCATTTCGAGTTAATTGCCAATGAAAAAGTGTCGCGCGTAGCAAGTTTAAATGGGCGCAACTTATCACAGCGACCTTTTGCACCACTTTTCACGTTCTATACGTACACACAGTGTCGGTTAAATACCAGTTTGTCCTGAACGCGAGGAGAGCTAGCCGGCAGAACATAACCGACGTAGGTGGCACAACACGCAACGAAATATTATTCGAACGTTTCGTGAACGTGGCTCGAGTAGATAGTGTGGGTCTCAGCGTTTTTAAGGGAAAGGCGTGCGGCCGTTTTCAACTTTCCCTTATCACTCCATATTAAATTGCAACGCGGCGTGTCCGCGGCGAATCGCGAGCGATCTTTGAAAAATTGAAATTTACTTTGCACGGATAAGAAACACGTAAACGTATTTTTTAAAAAATATCTAGTCTACGTTATAAACAAAGCTCCATGTTGTAATTATTTTATGACATACTTTTATGCAATTGAAAAATTTTCTTCTGAAATGCAGAACGTGACGAGATTATTATGTTTTATTCAAACTCAAAGTTGCAAATGCCTTCAAGATGCCCAGTTCATGGTTGGATCAATACTTATGTGCCGGCATATAAGTCACAGAAAATAATATGAACCAAGCGATACGATAAGCCGCGTGTACCGAGACCTGTTATGTACGGCTCGATCTCTGACGGTGAAGCGTTCAAAAATTAGTTATTACCATACGTGGCACGGAATTGCCATAAATCTGCCGATTTCAATCTCGTTTAGAACATTAATTTGCTGCCTCGCGTACGTTTCGTAGAACGTTACTCTATTACAAATGGAATT